TGTTTTTGTAGTTAATAAAATTACTTTAAACCTAATTTTACCCTGTGTTTGGCCACACTCAGAGTCAGAAACTCGTTTATACTCTACATAATGTCGTTTCTACCGTTATCTTCAGTTACTATTCTGACCTCTAAGGTTAATTAGGTGAACAGAAATTAATGAAAAGTTACGCCTAACCCATGGACATCCGAAAGGGGGCAAGGGGTACATGCCCCCTGGAAAGTGAGATACGTAATGATTTCTTTAGTCGTTCAGCATAGGTAATTAGACAGAAGTGCGATACGTCTTGTGAACATGTCCATTGACGGATTTGTGTTCGTGTTAATGTAACATCTGTTGTTCATTCCGTAATACTTTTAGTTGGAGAGATAAAAAAAAAAAGATATTTCTTAGCAAAATTTGGAATTGAATATTTTTTGGAATGTCATAAAGCTTGCGGTTTTATCTAGTAACTTGTTGTGTCTTCTTTGAAATTAAAGTGCTTATTGTAAAATACACTGTTATTTATTTTCTAGTCCCTACCCCAGGTTGCGCAGCAATAAGCTTAAGGTTTAACGTGTGTGTGTGGTGGGGGAGGGGGGGGGGTGTAGCTTTGCACTTAACAACCAAACCTTGCGATCGGCATAGCGCAGACAGCCCGTTATGCAACTTTGCGCTAAAAACAAAAAAACAAGTATTTCAGTGCTTCTGTTTAAAATACATAACGTACTTAGCTTTTTTTCCATTCAATAATGCTTCAGTGTTAGTCATATTAGCTGAAAAATAATAGTATTTTGCTTATTTATACGTTGGTTTCATTAGCTCAGCACACTGGTTTCCAAGTGAGATATTAATAGAGGTTTGTTCATTAGGTTGGATTGTCAGTTGTCAGATTAACATCTGAAACAATCGAAAAATAAGGCTTTGAAAACGTTCCAAAAGCTTTACTTTTGGTGTCTGAATGTTGTTTCAAAAGTGAAAAGATAAAAACAAAAAGTAAACTACACTACTGAGTAAATTAGTTTTCCTGGGGTTTAATTGGCAATCGAGTTGGAGAGTATTTTACATATTCTGAACTTGGATTTAAAAGTTAAACAGTTTCAACTGACAAAACGAAACGGTCGTTTAAACACAGGACGTTTTACTAAAAGCAGCGTAATTTTAACTCGAGCTACAGAGACGAAGTTCTTATTTAGAGTTCATTAAGTAGAATGTCATCAAAAATCCAGAACTGATGAGAGAGTCTGAGGATACTATGTATGGTGTACCAGAACTGATGAGAGAGTCCGAGGATACTATGTATGGTGTTCCAGAACTGATGGGAGAGTCCGAGGATACTGTGTATGGTGTTCCAGAACTGATGGGAGAGTCTGAGGATACTGTGTATGGTGTTAAGAAAATAGAATCTGGTTTAATTAGAAGATAACTATGCGTGATGATGTCATCGATTGGTTAAATATAGAATCAAAACTCTGCACTGTATTCTTTTCCTTGGATATGCATCATTCTCAAAAACGTTATTAACACGTATATTTTATACTGATCGCAGAGTTGATATAGGTACTAAAGATATATTTTTACCACTATTCGCTACAGAAAATGTAGAGTTTTGTGTTTGGTGGTGAAAAGTTAAAGAAAAAAACATGAAACGTTTTGTAATGGTAGACAACTCGCGTATATCGTTGATGATAGAAAAAAGTTTAATGTATGGGCTGACCGAATCGTCACGGTTTGTACCTGTTGTAAAGCTCTGGATTTCGGAGCTGGCGAGCTATGTTCGAATCCGTGCGATACCTCAAGCTATTCCTCACACTTTAAGCTGTAGGTGAGTAATAAAAGTGGCAGTCAATCTGTTAGAGTGGATTGTGAGTAATGACGTGCCGCTGACTGGCTGCCTTCTCTCTAATCAGCATAGCTCAAAATAGAAACGGCAACAGATAGCCTTAGTAGTTTCACATAAATACAAAATGAAGTTATACATATCTAATACCAAGGTAATAGTGGCACATAAATACTATTGAAAAACAGGCGTACACGTAATTTTGTGCGTAGTCACATGACAGAATGCTAAAAGACCGTACTTAGGACTTGATTTCTTTAGATTATGTAATCATCAACATAAGGTCATAGTTGAAGTCATCTAACATTTAGAAAATTAAATCTCAACGTGATAAACTCGGAGTTTCAAGGAACATCCGCAATGCCGGTTAGCACCCTTAGTGCCAGTTAACGTCCGCAGTGCCAGCCACATTTTGTTTTCAAATGTAGACTGAAAGCAACTCGTTTAGCAAGAACAATAAACAAATGAAGGCGTGTGTTTGTCTTTGTGATAATTTCACAAACAAAGCAACTGCATGAACCATTTTCCAGTTTCAACCCAATGAGTTTTTTTGAAAGGTAAACATTGTGCTACTTAACCATCTCCAATCAGTAGAAACCTGGCGGTTACAATTAATTAAAATATTTAACCTAATGTGACTGATATAATTGGCAATCAAATTAAATGATCCTAGAAAGAACAATTGTTCTTTTGATTTTTCACATTGAAATTTGTGTTTCGGTACTTCACATTCATTGTTTATGTGTAGGTTACAGTTTCGGAAACAGCTTTTTCATGAAATTTTTGAAGAGTATTGTTTGTTTTTAATTAACCACAAAGCTACACATTGGACCATCTGTGCTCTGCCCACCACGGGTATCGAAACCCGGTTCTAGCGTTGTAGGTCAGCAGACATGCCTCTGTGCCACTGGGAGGGCTTTGAAGAGAATAAGTCTTGGTAATTTTGGTAAAATATATATAAAAAAACTCAAAAAGCTCTTATTTTAATGCAAAATTATGTGGAAAACCTGCGATTGTGTTTGTCTTAGAAAAACTCAAGAATGAAATATTATGGCTTTAATGAAAAATATTATAACCCAAGTCAAAAAATAATGAGGCATTATAACAATTAGAATCGTATTTAATTTTTGTAGTGCATATTGGTCTATAGAAGACATATTAATACTACAAATAAACGACCTTCTAACACCAGAAGTAGTTTTTTATTTAATTATACAATCAACGTTTCGCTTTACAGCTTCTTCAGGAGCGTTCACTGAAACACAAACCGAAACTGACGGTACAAAGTTTTGTACTTGCTGTCTTAGCGGCTGAATAATTTAAATTATTTATATATTTTTGTGCACGTCTGTATATATATTTTAGTGTTAATTATTTTTGTTGTTGTATTTTTATCTAATGTAGATTTTGATGTAGGTTTCCATTTTTTTTACTATTAAGTTTTATAAAGAATACATATAAATACATTTTTTCCACGTGAGCTAGCATGGGAGTATTTTTGTTGTTGTATTTTTATCTAATGTAGATTTTGATGTAGGTTTCCATTTTTTTACTAGTAAGTTTTATAAAGAATACATATAAACATATTTTTCCACGTGAGCTAACTTGGGAGCATTTTTTTGTTGTCGTTGTTGTTAAGCGCAAAGCTACACAATGGGCTATCCATGGTGCGCCCACCTTCAAACTCACTCTTGAGCCAATGGAGACAGCTTGGAAACATAGCAAAAATAACCCATTCTAAAAGTTGTATTCAATATTTTGTAAGCTACCCCAACCACAGGAACCGGGCGTAGTCTAAGTGGTTGATATATATGGATTGTATTCGTGTCCAATTGCCTGACTTTAGGGTTGTGGGTGCGTTGTAAGAGTAACGGTCAAATACGACTATTCGATCAGTTAACAAGCTTGCCTTCCCTCAGTTCAAAATTAGACAAAGCGATGCACAAATAGCCCTTTGAGTACCTTTACGAGAACATTTTGAACAAACCAAAGAAAAATCCAATCTAATATTAGCTTGATATCATAATTGTAATAGTGTTTTTCAGTGTGACATTGGATGCCAATTTAGCATTAAATATCTGAGTTTTGAGGAAATGCAGATCGCAAATGACTTTACTGGTATTTCCCACGTTCTCGAAACTGTCCAATTACTTACTCTTATTGTCTTTTAAGCAGAGATTTAAGATTATGATCTCTGCAATCAGAAAAGTTGAAGAAATTTAGAAAAACAGTTTAAAAGCCTAGTTATGTAAGAATATTATGAGATCATGATGGTGTCCAACACATGAAGAAACGGGGCAAATTCAGTTGTTTTGTGTGTATAATATCGAGTCTGTTCTACATGGTGCCGCTGTTGCTTGCTCTCTTTCTCTGACTACCTGTGCTGTACCCACCACGGATAGCGAAATCTGTTTTTTTTTTTTTGCTATAAATCTTCAGACTTGCCATTGGAGCAGAGGGTAATTGCTATCTCTATCAACCTTTTTTGTTACCGCCGCTTTTGTATCGTTTGCGAACTTTCAACTAGTTTTTTTTTATGACTGCCAATAAATATTATTTTTGGGTATATTTTTGTGGTTAATGGAATTCACACTTGATGTCACTACTTTTACTCGTTATTAATACTTCCGTGTTTACCCTAGTTGGCTAATCGTATATAGTTTATATTAAATCCAAACTAAAACGTATTACATTGAATTTCAATGCTGCACGATTACTGTTTTATTATCTGCAAAAAAAAATGATTGTTTTTTCGCTCAACTGATTGATTCGCATGTTTCAAATCGGAAAGCTTTGAATTTTTAAAACATATATATTTTTGTTCTACGTCACGTAGTTTTGCTGCTCGCAGACAAGTCTCCTCCTCATGAAAAATGGCTTCTATTTTTAACATTCATTTACGTCACAAGCAATTCTAAGAAACACAAGCTAGGTAACTAAAAGAATAACAGCATACAAAATTAGAGAGGGGAAGGGGGATGAAACACTGAGCTTTAAATAATTACTCACCTGTAGTAGGTAAAGGGAAGGGGGGGACATAAGCTTGCGCAATAAGATCGTAAGACATGCGTGGGAATTTTGTCTGGCATTTCGTCAAAAGGTTCATTTTAAAAGGGAGGGTGGGGCGAGATTAGTTTTAAATAACTCTGTTGTCTTTCGACTAGGATGAGAAGAATTAAAACTGGCTGTCTTATACCCATCTTGAGATCAACTGTACAATGTGAGCTAGCTTAAACCAGTGTGAAGTACAGTTGCTGGCGTGTTACATCTGCGCGTCACTTTACAAAGGCAACAGACTCTGATCTCAGAGAAAATAGTTTTATTAGGATTGGTAACTCTCTTTCTCGTCAGTTTTTGAAGCTAATTCTATTCGAAGATATCTGATATAACCGATATCATGATAATCATCTTATAAAGCAATTATCTTCAAGTCTGTAGATCGTGACTGTTTCTTTTTATTATTAGACACATTTTCTTTTCGTTGCGAATTTGGTCTCGGTGTGCAGAATTTAAAAGTGAAGCGTTTTGTAACTTCTCTTTGAAGTCCATTTTGTATTGTTTAGGCTAACAAGATTCTGTTAGCTGTTTAGGAATTGATAAATATTATAAGTACGTAATTCGTAGCTCGTTTAGATTTGTTAATTATGTCATACAAAAAGCCCACCAGTTTTGGATCCACAACTAATAGTTCTTCAAAACGAAGCTCACCGATGCTTGTCTATCAAGATATGTATGGGTCTTCTGTTGGTGGAATGACCGGAAGTTCGAGTCAAGCGCCCATTCTCAACTATGGAGAGAGGGGAAGTTCACTGAGTCCTGGGATTTCTATAGCACGTAACCCTTCGCTAAACCGACTGAGGGAGTCCTCTTGGAGAATTTCGGATCCTACGGGATTTACATATAACTTATATACAGAGAGACCTAATAGTCCATTAATTTCAAGTACCACCAATACTTACCCAGAGAGGGCTAGAAGTCCTGTTCCCCCCAGTTTTGGGGGATTCAGTGAGCGTCCAATAAGCCCAATGGCCAGTCCAATATCTTCCAGATCTCCTTCTCTTCATGAATTGACAAACTTTGGATCTGGATCTTCAATAAATCCTGCCATTACACGTGCACATTTCACATCTACTTATGGCAATAATCTTTCAGTTCCAAACTCTCCATCTTTACAGCGAAAATCCCTCTCCAGAGCTGGCTCCTCTTCATCGCTCCAGTCTCTTGGTGAAATGACGAGCCGCACGTTAGTATCTCCAACTTTCTACTCGCCATCATCATATATTTCAGGATCTTCCATCTACTCTAGCAACCACTATTCCTCAATGGACAGGTATCGGCCACAGCTTCGCCAGAGACCCATTATTACCAGTTACAGACCGTCTGTAAAACTTCAGGGACATAACACCCATAATGTTCTTCACCGAAGAGATCACGTCATTAAGTTTCGGGAACGTCAAAAGATGACCCGTGACTCGAAATCACGTATTTCTTGGAAACTACCCACTCCTACAGCTAGTCCAATGATCATTCGTCGCAGACCAGATATACGTCAACTAAGCAGTGAATCCTCGCGATCTTTTGACTCTGGTATAGGTAGCCCAGAAAAGAAGTCACCGTTCTATAGCAAAAGCCAAGAAGGTAGTCACAAATGGAGTTCTGTGGAAAAACAATCGGAGAAACGTCTTTCTATAGAGGTAGAAAAGTCTGCAGAGGCTGACATCTGTCAAGGTTGGTTTATTGGTTATTCAGTAACGGGAAACCGTTAAGTTTGTGTTTGTCAATAAGTTGAAAGGTAATATATTTCTGAACGTTCTTTGAAAACATGTTGTATTATCATAAGTTTATTAATCATTGCCATTAAACTTATACTCCTAATCTGAATGTTATGACCATTTCAGTCCAATATTTTTTTGTTATATTAGTTCAACGTTTTTAAATTTTATATGGAGCTTTTTCAAGCCAACCATAATCAATCTACTTTTAAAGACAGCATTTTGACAGAAGCAGTCATACAATTCGTCTCCTTCATTGTATTTCATCAGTCAAACGCCTAAGACTTCTAAGTTTCTATTAGTGTTTGCTATAACAAAGCTATGAATATCGTACAGGAAATTTCATAAAAAGTCAGATGTCTTATTTGCATGGGCGGCGGAGCCGGGGAGCACATGTCCCCCAATTTTGACTCAGTTGCAAGGTATCTCTTTGAATGGTGAATAGAGACTTGTGTAATCTATCATGGAAAGTTGCTGTTTTAGTTTTGAGTTCACGATTAAGATAAGTAAGTTGTCGATGTCCCCCCAAATTCAACGTTTACCCGCCGCCTATGCTTCTATGTTAGTATATTATGTCCACTTTGTGCACTTGAATAACTCCAATAGATAGAATTTACTCTCTATTACTTTCTGAAGCTAGCTGTTTGTGACATTAGTTCTTTGTTATTACTATCTGACACTAGTTGTTTGTGTCATTGATCTATGACATTAGTTTTCATGTTATTACTATCTGGCACTAGTTGTTTCTGTCATTGCTCTATGACATTAGTTCTTTATATTATTACTATCTGGCACTAGTTGTTTCTGTCATTGCTCTATGACATTAGTTCTTTATATTATTACTATCTGACACTAATTGTTTGTGTCATTGCTCTATGACATTAGTTCTTTGTTATTACTATTTGACACTAGTTGTTTGTGTCATTGATCTATGACATTAGTTTTTATGTTATTACTATCTGACACTAGTTGTTTGTGTCATTGCTCTATGACATTAGTTTTATGTTATTACTATCTGGCACTAGTTGTTTGTGTCATTGCTCTATGACATTAGTTCTTTGCTATTACTATCTGACACTAGTTGTTTGTGTCATTGCTCTATGACATTAGTTCTTTATATTATTACTATATGACACTAGTTGTTTGTGTCATTGATCTATGACATTAGTTCTTTATATTATTACTATCTGATACTAGTTGTTTGTGTCATTGATCTATGACATTAGTTCTTTATATTATTACTATCTGATACTAGTTGTTTGCGTCAGTATTCTGACACTATTTCTTTTATCTTAACTAAGACTGATAATATTTCCAGAGTGCAAGGTCAACTGTCACCACAAGTGTGAAAAACACGTCCCCAACCTATGTGGAGTAAACCAGAAACTTTTATCGGAAGTCCTAGCGACAGTGAAGAAAGGTTAGAAAGAACCTTTTCTAGTTTTCCGTACAACAATTTAAGCAGACTGTCAGGTAATTGTTATTGTTTGTTATTAAAGCTAAACAAAGGGCTATTTGTGCTCTGCCCACCAAAGGTATTAATATCGGGTTTCTAGCGGAGCCACTGCTTATCTCACTATAGTTTTAACAAATGGTAATTCTATCGAGACGCTGTAATTTGGAATCAAATATTACACACTGTAAATTCTTATCTTACAATTAGAAAATGTATTACTAGCAAAAATTAAAAGAATTTTCACAAATTATTTTCATGTATTGTTGATTTCGTTTCCTACCAATTATTCATTATATGTTTTTGAACTTTTTGTTTTTGCTAATCAAATTAAGAAACCCCGACAAATAATTATAAAGTTTGTTTTGTGCTTTCTTCTTGTCCGGTTCTTGCAACTTCTTCTGATTAGTTTAGCTTTTATGCTTTTTTTTTCATTATTTTGGTTCGTTTTTCTTTTTTTTTACTTTTCCTAGTCCTTGTTTGTAACAGTAAATTACTTTTCTAGTTCTTGTAAATGATAATGGTTCTTTTTTCTGGGCCTTATTGGCTACTGGGTGATTGTTTTGTAGATTAAAAGCATTTGTGTATTTTTTGTCTCTGTACCTCCAATTCGATGCTTTTCGTAGTTTTTGTTATTGGCGTTGTCCGTTTTTCTTCCCTAAGTTTTGAAGCAATATCTAATTTCATTAGTGGTATTTGGGGTTTCCTTTTTTGTTTTTAGTATTGGTTTCGCAAGCTTTCCTTTTTTTTTGTCTTGTTGATTTTTGGAGCTTTTCCTTACTTCTAGTTCTTATCATCATTACGCAGATGCTGTTTGTCCTAACTCTTATCATCTTTACGCAGATGTATATTAATTTTCAATTGAATTTGGTTGTTGGAGTTTTACCTAATTTTTCTTCATAACATTTAGAAATCCTGTAATTTTTGTTTAATTAAAATGTGTAGACTTCCTTCTGGTTTTGGTGGTAGAGGTGTTTTATAGTTAACCATTTTTTTAATATAACACATATAATATTAGTAATTCATTTTATATCTTTAATTTTTTACAGGTGTGTTTAAAATCTCTTACTTTCCCATCAAAATCTTATTATCTTTTATTCTTCTAAGTATTTTTAATTTGAATTTCTAAATATTCTAGATCTTTTAAATTGTGATTTTTTTGTAGGTTTCATTGCATGATGCTTCATATATTTAGTTTTCGCCAGAATTTGAATATTTTGAAATAAAAATATTGTTCTATTGAGATTCAGTGTTATTGTACCTAAAAGGTGCTGCTTTTTTCGTTTAAGGTCTCCCTTGTTCTTATTTTACTACGTTACGAGTTTCGTCTAGTGTTTTGAAAGAGATGACTGAGCAGATACATAATTTTACAATTTCATAATCGCACATCGTATTTAAATGAGAAACAAGAGCAATCAGAAGATACATGCGTTTATATTAGATAACGTCAAATTTCACCTTCGAAAACTCAGAAAACCCTTCTCAGATCCAGAATGATTAACGATCCCCGAAAATGCCCTATCTCCCCATTATAAAAAAAAAAATGCTTCAAAGTGATCCAGAATCCGGATTTGGATCAGGGTCAAATTTGGGGAGGACTGTCCCATACTAACTTCCCATCTTGTGTAAAACTTTCGTGCATAGCGGTCTGTTAGTTTTAGAGATACTGGCGCAGAAACACACACACGCGGACCTGATTGCAATACCCTAGTCCCCCCCCCCTCCGTGGAAGAAGGTAAATTACTACAGGTTTGTTTTTAAATTGTTTATTGAAACAAATTTTTATGATAACATTAAGTTATTCTCTGGAGTCGTTCAGAATTCTAAGACTTTGTTTTTTACACATTTCACATGCTTTTCACCATGTTCTTGCAAAAAATTAAAGTATGCTAACGCTTTAGCACGTGACACTCCAAAGTACGCAGGATTAACCGAAAAATGGTAGCTTCAAGAAAGAAACACAGTAACTTAGGTGCTTTCAGAAACTATACTTTTCATTTACCCCTGATGAAAGGAAGCCAATGCCTTGGTGGGTCAGCAGTAAGTTTATGACTAACAACTCTTAAAATTTGGGAATCAGTTCCCCCCGATGGACTGAGCACAGATAGCCCCAAATATGAACGAAGCACCTGGGTTATTGCTTTTTTTATGATGCTAATTTTTTAACAGACAGTTGAAGAGTTTTGGGTCATAATTGACTCTGATTTTGATTTCAATAGTTTAGATATGTTGCGAAATGAGAATAAATAAAAAAGTCACGTAAAGAGTTATATGTCTCTTAAAATGTTTGCTAGATATGGCTGTACGCCACCTCCTTGATTTTTAACATATTTTATTGTCACATAACGTAAAGGATGTCCTTTCAGATATCAGCACTCCACCGCTTAGCCCTGTTCCTCAAAAAGTTCACGAAACAGAAACAAACAAAGAGATATCTGTGACAGCGACTGCAGCGCCACCTTCACCACCAGGCAGTGATTCAGATGAAGGCTTTGTACAACAAAAAGAACGGGAAAGCAGAATACCTGAAGTTAAAGAACAACGTCAAAAAGTAGAAGGACAAACACCTCAGGTCCAGAGACCATCTGGAATCGACGTCAGAGGCCCTCAGAAACCACCAAGAATAAGATTTAGAAAATATAACATAGAAGATTTTAACTTTATGAAAGTTCTTGGCAAAGGCAGTTTTGGTAAGGTAAGTAGTAAGGCAGCAATTTGCGAACACTTCTTAGAAGTGGTTATAAAAGACCCATAATAACTACAAATGTAGTATCTTAATTTTAATCTGGAAAATATTCGTCAGTGACTCTATCACTTGGCGCCTATCAGAGTTCAAATTGCAGCCTGTAACATCATTTGATTTTAGATATTATTAATTATTTGTATATAAAAGAGTAACTGGTCCATTTCGAGAGCTAGATAAGAATTCTGAAAGGGACAATGAATAGAATATAATGAATTTCTAAAGAGGTAAATGGAACAGTGAAGATACAAGGGTGTGGCATAAGCATTTGTGTAAAGTTAGGCAAAGGGAACGAATTAATATGTAGTTTTATTGACAAAGTGAATATGAGGATAAATATCGTGGAAACTGACAAGAATTTCCCACCTTACTAAGGTGCTGCTGGCCGAGCTGAAGGGACACCGTAAATTCTTCGCCATCAAGTGCCTGAAGAAGGACGTGGTGCTAGAAGACGATGACGTGGAAAGCACGGTTATAGAGCGAAAGATGTTAGCCCTAGGGACCAAACATCCTTTCTTGTGTAAACTCTTCTGCACATTTCAGAGTGAGGTTAGTATTGTATGCAAAGTAAAATCTAGATTCACGTATCAAATTATAAACAGAAGTGAGAGTTTACTGTGTATAAATATTATAACATTTCACAGTAACGCATTAAAAGTCTTTCTACGTACGTTAAAAGTGACTCGGAAGCGTTTTGGTCAATACGTTTCTTTCGCTTCTCACTTGTCAAAGTTTTGATCAATGCGTTTCTTTGGTTACTGACTTGTCAAAGTTTTGACCAATGCGTTTTTTTGGTTACTCACTTGTCAAAGTTTTGGTCAATACGATTTTTCGGTTACTCACTTGTAAAAGTTTTGATCAATGCGTTTCTTTGGTTACTGACTTGTCAAAGTTTTAACCAATGCGTTTCTTTGGTTACTCACTTGTCAAAGTTTTGGTCAATACGTTTTTTCGGTTACTCACTTGTAAAAGTTTTGATCAGTGCGTTTCTTTCCCCTCTCAATCACTAGTAAAACCTTAATGAACAAATTTCTTTCGATAAAAACTTGTGAAAAGTTTCTTTCAATTCTCATGCGCTTGTAAAACCTTTGATCATCAAGTTGCTTTCGTTTTTCACTTGTAAATCTTTTAAAAACACTTTTCTTTCGTTTCTTACTTGTAAAACATTTTGTTAATACGTTTCTTTCGTTTCTAAGAGTCATCTTTTCTTCGCCATGGAATACCTGAATGGTGGAGATCTAATGTTTCACATTCAACAGTCTGGAAAGTTTGACCAGGACAGAGCCAGGTAAAAATACATACACAATTTCTTTTCCTCTCATTTCTCTCCCTCTCTCTAAATATATTAATGAAAATATTTCTGTGACAGTTGCAGGATAGTTTCGTAACTTTTTCAGACTTCTGCATTATCCAAATGTATGTTCATAAAATAGTGATAATTCTCCATTCATTGTTTATGTTATGTTAAAAAGCACGAAATCCACTAAGTACATTAATGCGTCGCTAACTGTTGTACTGGTCAGTAGGTCATTCTCGAAGAAACATTCTTCGTAAAAGTTTTGTATTGGACTTTAAACTTGTCAACACTGCTGTCGTTCTGAAATAGTTTATAGCTGTAAATTATTTGAGATAATATACGTCTTTCAGGCAACAGCATACTCAGAGATTTAAATTGAAATTATTAACAAGGAGAACCCTAATATTTAAAGAAGAAAATGATGCAAAGCAGCATACAGGCAGCCGGGTTGGATAAGGGTGGAATATTCATTCTTACAGGGGGAAGGATGTCTCCCTGAATAATATTTTTGACTCTTGTTACATTTTTGGGCATTTTACTTCATTTTTACCATTAAAATTACATCTTTACATGGAATAAATGAAAGTTAATTAGCCCTTTCGTGATTTTCCCGAGACAACTTCGGCGCCCTCCACGTTTCCAAAAATATTTGCCCGAGTTAATTTGGTGCAAACCATTTCTCGCTGTATTTTTAATCATTTGGCAAAGTTGATTTACGTGTTATGTATTACAATCAGTGCTCGCTTGTTTAAAATTATACAATTATTTCAAATGGCTTACAATTTACAAATTGTGATTGATGTATACGCGACATCAGAAGTGACTCGTGTCAATTGTCTACACATTCTGTGAGGACGTAGAAGTTTTATTAACGGCGAAAATATTTCTATAACCGGGTCCCATGGTTTTCCTACTGATCAGTTCTTTCCACTTTAAATACTAAGCATACCTATTTTGTAATAGTAAGTTTACGTCTTCTGTGTAGTTTGTTAAAATTGATAATTGTTAGATTATCTTCAAACCCGTGTGTATTACAACAAATTAACAATCTATAAATTATTTTAAACCCGTGTTTATTACCACAGATTGATAATCTTTAAATCCGTGTTTATTAAAACAAGTCCCTAAATATTATCAATTAATTGTAATAAATTCTGGTTTGAAGATAATTCAAAGATTATCAATTAATTGTAATAAATTCTGGTTTGAAGATAATCCAAAGATTATCTTACAGCCTAGTTAGGTTCTGAGTTTCAAAACGTTAGATTACTCTGTAAATGGTTAGGTTTCTTATCTATTACAGCCTAGTTAGGTTCTGAGTTTCAAAACGTTAGATTACTCTGAAAATGGTTAGGTTTCTTATCTATTACAGCCTAGTTAGGTTCTGAGTTTCAAAACGTTAGATCGTAGTTGTTGTAGTTGTTTGTTATTAAGCATAAAGCTACACAAAGGACTATCTGTGCTTTGCCCACCACGGGTATCGAAACCCGGTTTCTAGCGGTACAAGTCAGTAGACATACCGCTGTGCCACTGGGGGAGGGGCAAGTTAGATCGTTCTATTAACTGTTACCTTTCCTATTTATTTTAACCTAGTTGGGTTCTAGGTTTAAAAACGTTAAATCGTTCTGTTAGAGGTTAATTTTCTCACTCATTACAGACTAGTTTGGTTCATAAGTTTCGAATAGGTTGGATCGTTCTGTTAGCAGTTAGTTTTTGGTTAATTACTGCTCAAGCGAATGAAAGTTTCAAACAGTGGCGTACATACCACTATAGAAACTATAGTATAGCTACGACTCCCCCTCCCCCCAAGTTGTGCAATTTGACACTTTTCAGGTGTAAAGTGTACACCTGAATATAAGATTTCAAAATTTAAGTAAAAATAATAATATCTCTAATTCTATTTCAATAATCGTTCACCGCAACGTATTATAGAATTGGTGTTTTCTCGTTTTTCGTATAATTCGTAAAGAAAACATTATAAAACAAATTGAAACTTTACTCGCTTGTAAACAACGCACTTATCGTTTGCTTGTTTGTTTTTTTAGAATTTGTCTACACATTCCAAAACATGAGCTTATATTTGCTTAAGAATGTAATCATCCATGTATTGCTTCTCGTGTGAGTTGTAAAAGGAAAAAAGAAGTGCCCTGTGGGCCTATGTTGTGCCTTGTACGCCACTGGTATCAAAATGTTAGATTGAATAAATAGAGTTGTGTTAAAACTTGTTTAACAACAAGTAAAAGCTTGGAATGGTCTATTCTTTCATTGGTGGTGGTGTGTCTTGAGCCAGACTAGTTTCGGAGAATTCCACTCCTCATCAGTGACCCTGGATACTACCACCAATGAAATAACAGACCAAACCAAGCCTTTATAGTAGTGAGGTATCGAAATGTTTAAACAACTCTATTTATTCATTTATGTATAAGCTGCCCAGTGTCGGATAACAATACGAAGAATTAACTTGTGGCGAAATCCTACAAGTTCAATTTAATGTCGTTACAAATTACATACTTCATTCAGATAAATGTAATATACATAAAATATTAATATAGTGCTTTGATGAAAGGATTATTGTTTTACCGATATCATTTAAGATGGAATGGTTAAATGTGAAAAACTCAAGACAAAGAGAATTTTAAATAACTTAAAATCGTTCTGGTTCATTCTGGAAAACTATATGTTACTTACGATTAGCAAGTATTTTTTAAGAAAAGAAGAACAAAACGAACTGATAGTTAAAGTATTTGGATTGCTTAAGGTTCGATGTTTCGAGAAGTAGGGTTAGCAAGCTTACCTCTGGAGCTATGTAGTCTGGGGTTCCACAAAAAGTGGAAGTCTTCGACTGGTCATTCATGCCAAGTTTACACATGCCAAAGTCAGAAATATTCACGTGCCCTTCGTGATCTAAGAGGATGTTATCCAGCTTAAGATCCCTAGAAACCACATACAGAGACACATGCTAGGTTTCTACTACACACCACGTCTCAACATGACCATAGCCAACTTGCTTTGCTGTTAGTTAAAATGTTATATCAAACAAAACGAAACCGTTATTCTGTTAGGACTTCAATAAATAGCGATAGTTCTTACACAGGTCTTTCATGATTGTAAGATTGAACACTAGGGTTTCATAGCCTAATATTATATGATGATGAGCAATATTAATTGATTAGTGGATGTACCTACTCAAACGAGACACACCGACAAAAATGTTCTTATCTAAACATTAAAAGATAGCTGAATACAACCAAAAATCCAATAGTTAGAATCATATAAAAAAAAAATCACAGATATTACCTTGGTGCTTTTGACAGATAGATCTATCGAAACAGATAGGGTTTTATCGTTAATTTTTAGCGTGATTTGCCAACCTTTTTGATCTACTTTGGTTTTGGTTCTTGCTATCACAACCAATGTTTATTACCAATATCCGAAGCAGACATTTAAAGACTGTGATTTCTACATTACAACCAAGAACATTCCATATTAGTTACCCAGACAACAAAGAGAAATTCACAACCAAGAATGTCTAATAATAGGTAACAGCATAGAATGATGATCATATTTTCAACCAACAATATGTTCAACAGTTTGTAACAATAACGAACATAACATAATGTAAAATATCAGAATTTTATTATCATACTTTCAACAAACACTATAGTTTGTAACAGTCAGGAATACCTCAAACGTGTAACATTAGAACATAATGATTACCTCTATAGTTTGTAACAATCAGAAATACCTCACAACATGTAACATTAGAACGTAATTTTCAACCAATGACAAGGTGTAAACATAAAAAATGATGATCATATTTTCAACCAACAATATGTTCAACAGTTTGTAACAATAACGAACATAAAATAATGTAAAATATCAGAATTTTATTATCATACTTTCAACAAACACTATAGTTTGTAACAGTCAGGAATACCTCAAACGTGTAACATTAGAACATAATGATTACCTCTATAGTTTGTAACAATCAGAAATACCTCACAACATGTAACATTAGAACGTAATTTTCAAACAATGACAAGGTGTAAACATAAAAAATGATGATCATATTTTGAACCAACAATATGTTTAACGGTTTCTAACAATTAGGAATAACCCACAATGTGTAGGATGCGGAAGGATGACAAATAACTACGAAATAACCCCAGTTTTTAACATCATATGATGAAAGATGTTGCTATTAAATAGCAGAGCCCGACTTATCGAAATGTGCGCGTTAAGGTAAACAGAAAGCTAAGTAGTAATATATGAATGACAAAAGATTACAATAAAACTGATAATAATTGAAATCACACCATTTTGTACTGGCCCACTACGTGTTCTTGGTAAGAAAAGCGTATAACAACATTTCAATAATAATGATGTGATTTATATTATTATCAGTCCTGTTGTGATATAATAGTGCACATATATTACCACTAAATGTCGTGTTCATCACGCTAAAGTGTTCTACATCTTAATTAAGGGTTGAGAAAAAGGCTTTTAACAACAAAAGTTGCTATTAAATGCTTACAGAGCGAACACGCGTGTTAAGTGAATCAGAAGACTGTTAATAGCAACAAGGAAAGTTTGCTGTTACGTGTTAACAGAAACAAGCTTATTGCAATGAATGTCTAAGTTGTCTGTTACAACAATGGCAACAGAGACAGGCGTACAAAAAGTTTGTATGGTAAGTTAAACAGGTGGTTGTTAGCAAGTAATAATGAAGATTATTATGAAATGTTAAAGATTCCCTGCATTATTATAAATTGGTACAGCGAGTTAAAAAGTAGCCTATTGACATCAGTGATTAAAGGTATCATTAGGTGTGATTCACACCTCTAAAGATGATCACAAGATTTTATCTAAATACACGAGTGCTGTACATTTGACTTACCAAGACGAAATACTTTTTTCGACGTCTTTTGATGACGTTACTAATGAGTTACAAGTAAGTACACTCTTATTTTATAATTGTATTGAAATTAGGCTTGCTGATGGATCTTAAAAGCTACTTGCGAACGAGAGTAGGGCTAACCAATGCTTGCCACCTGGTGACAGAAAAAGCAATGATTGCGGGTACATACTTCAGGTGCCATGTACTCTGGAGTACCACAAAAGTTTGAAGGAAGACACTCCTCTCTATAAATACGCAATTGGCACATTCCAAAGTCGATCAATCGAATGTGTCCTTCACAGTCTAGAAGAATATTATCTAGTTTCAAATCTCTGTAGAAAAAAGAAAAACAGAACATTGTTTCTAAGGGTTTATGCCTCATACTTCTGATATCAATAGCGTTTCAACTAAGACTTTGCATGCTGTAACCAAGACAGCCTGATGAGCTCTGGTATTGAGCGAAAGCCCTCATTAACAGTAGCATACATCACACAAGAAATAGTTGAAATGCTATCGTGCAATCTTCTTTCTGGAAACCCGTAATGGGCCAGTAAAGAATAACGTGTTTAAATTACTTTCAGTCTTACTGCGATGTAATATCACACACATTTCTAACAAAATATTCCGCTACAGAAAACAATCAAAAATACACAAAAATATCGATGTTAATCTAAGCTCTAGTTCTTTAAGTAATGGATAATTATTAAGTATCTTAGGGCTTATAAATAAAAAAATTACCAATTTTGTAACGGTATTTAAAATTATAGATAGAGATTTATGTAACTACTCCTTGAAATAGGTTGTGATCCCCTCTCCTTCGGCGCTCTTGTATTTCATGTGTCTACGAATCATTATTGTCAGAAAGTTCAATGATGCTTTTCTTTCTGGAATCTCATTCTTAATTAGCTATATTCTTGCTGCCAGATCATTTTAAACAATATTTCTATGTTACATGGTCTTTAACTTAACTGTAGGCAGAAAATCTAAATGGGAAATGACAAGGGTAGTGATGCAAAAAAAAACAGTAAACAGAGAGCAACTTAGGTCGAAAATTTGGTTTTGAGATTAAAAGTTAAGTTATATTCCATTCCTTCTTTAAATTTAGTTTCATCAGCAGCACTGGTTGTAACGTTTAATATGTATCTATATATATTTATTTATTAGCTATTCTTCTAAGCTGGCCGAACTTCGAAACATATTAGGATTATGGCCGAAACATCGACAACAGCGAGGGTTACACACTAGTCACTCAGTGCATTCTAATAATTATAATGTTTTGTTTTAAATTACATAATTTGTTAAGTTAATTAAAAGTTTGATCGAAGCAGTAAGCTTGCTTAAGTAAACAATTACTAATAGTTGAGAAGTTGCCATACTTATTTTCAATTTTAAAATTCTTCGTGTCTCACCTAACATGTAGATAAAATGCAAGTTTTGTTATAGTCAGAAACACAGTGGAGCCTGTGAAGATTCTGTCATCTACAAAATATGTAAATCTGTCACATGATTGCAGATTAATAAGTTAACGCATGCGCTAGGCTTGCAAGCCACGACTACTAATGACTACTACTTTCCTGGAAGTTTTCTAATTATTATAGCCCGTTGATTTCCTTTCACTAGTAACGTCTTATATTTTTGACGATTTTTTTTAACAGTGTATCATACTCAAGAAATTTTGTTAAACATTCGAACCAGAATAACGTTACTCATTGCAAAATCTTCATTATGTCATCTTCACCTGTGTCTTATGACAATAAGATCTTTATAAATCTGATGAAAACCAAATACTCTTAATCCAAAGTGTTTTAAAATTCTCAATTAATATTCCCGACTTTTCAAGAAGGTTTATAAAGGCCGAAGATTTTCTTTAGAACATGATATGTATGTGTACTTAAATTTACAACCATAGAAAAATGAGTAAAAAAATCACAACCTGTGAGGTATTTACCTGTAAATTATTCCTTTCTTGTGCATAAAAGTAAGAGCTGTAACAATCTCTGCAGCATAGAACCTGCGCAAAAAGAAGAAAGGCAGTGTTTGAATTCAAGATAGTTATCTAAAGATTATCAATTAGTTGTAATAAATTCTGGTTTGAAGATAATCTAAAGATTATCAATTAGTTGTAATAAATTCTGGTTTGAAGATAATCTAAAGATTATCAATTAGTTGTAATAAATTCTGGTTTGAAGATAATCTAAAGATTATCAATTAATTGTAATAAATTCTGGTTTGAAGATAATAACAGCACTTTTTTCCCCAAGATATATGAATGACTAAATCTTGTCTTCTCATAGATTATTTATTCATACCCAACAGTTATTTTAACAGCACTTTTTTCCCAAGATATATGAATGACTAAATCTTGTCTTCCCATAGATTATTTCTTCATACCCAACAGTTATTTTAACAGCACTTTTTTCCCAAGATATATGAATGACTAAATCTTGTCTTCCCATAGATTATTTCTTCATACCCAACAGTTATTTTTCCCGACTCGATTGTTTGGTCATAGTTTCATTATTGTTGCTGTTGTTAAGCGCAAAGCTACAAAAAGGGCTAACTGTACTTTGCCCACCACGGGTATCGAAACCCAGTTTCTACCTTTGTAAGTCCGCAGACATACCGCTGTGCCACTGGGGGGGGATTGTTAATCAGTAAACAGTGGTTGTACTTGTTAAAAATAATCTGAATTCATGTCACGTTGACAATTTTTAACTTTAATATCATATAGAAAGTCAGTATATCGTAGCAAACCTATGATTTTCAGCCTCGGGCGCATCGTTTAGTTTAGAAAGTAAAGTAGTGAAAACTTAAACAGATAAGCGAGTCTAGATAAGTGAGATGTGCTTAGTAATGTTATACTACGAGAAGTTATATTATATTAGCTTATTACCACCTAGATGCACGGATTCCTTAGTTGAAAAATGCTATATCGTTATTATTGGTTAATTTTCTTATTTATTACAGCCTAGTTAGGTTCTGAGTTTCAAAACGTTAGATTACTCTGTAAATGGTTAGGTTTCTTATCTAAAAATAACTGTTGGGTATGAAGAAATAATCTATGGGAAGACAAGATTTAGTCATTCATATATCTTGGGGAAAAAAGTGCTGTT